AGCCACTGTGAGCCATCTGCAGAGCCCCAGCCTGGCTTGTGGCTGGCAATGGGTTATGCTGCCCTGGCCCCTTCCCCACTGTGCACCCCAAGGCACATATGCAGCCACCACTGGCCACAGAGCCAGGGCTCTGGACCCCAGTGCAGCTGTTTGCAGCCTGCCTGCAGCTGTGGCCAGTGGCGGCTGCATGCGCACCTTGGGGCACATGGACAACGAAGGGCCCAGGAAACTACAACCCCAGCACCACCCCTGCCATCCACCTGGAGGCGTGCATGCACCCACCACCAGCAACACACATATGCAGCCACCACTGGCCACAGAGCCAGGGCTCTGGACCCCAGTGCAGCTGTTTGCAGCCTGCCTGCAGCTGTGGCCAGTGGCGGCTGCATGCGCACCTTGGGGCACATGGACAACGAAGGGCCCAGGAAACTACAACCCCAGCACCACCCCTGCCATCCACCTGGAGGCGTGCATGCACCCACCACCAGCAACAAGGATAGGGCCCCTTGCAGCTCCCCAGCCATCTGCCCCTGGCATGCCAAGTCAAGGTGTGGGTTGAGGTTGAGTTTTTTTGGCACTCCAGTCAAAAATGCTGCCAACCCCTGATTTAATCATTGGGGGATCATCTTAAAATTCAAAGTCATCTTCAATTTGGGTAAGGGGGATATGACAGAGGTCTATAAAATCATGAAGGGAATGGACCAACTGAACAGGGAACTGTTGTTCACCAACTCCCAGAATACTAAAACTAAGGAGCGCCTGCTGAAATTAGTAGGTGACAGATAACTAAGAGCAAGTACTTTACTCAACACATTGTTAACTTTTGGAATTCACTGCCACAGGAGGTGGTGGAAACAGATAGCATAGCCAGGGCTCAAAAAGGGACTGAATAAATTCATGGATGATAGATCCATTAATGGTTATTGAACAGAATGACTGGAGACATTTCCTCTGGCATCTCTAAACCTATAATGGCAGATGCCAGGGAAGGGTACTTAACAGGAGATCAATCACTCCAGAGAGATCTGGTTCAGTGCTCTCCCTGTACAGCATCCATTCCTGTCACCGTTGGAAACGGTATACTGGGCTAGATGGACCATTGATCTGACCCAGTATGGAACTCCTTAAGTCTTCCTACCCTTTACAATCCACATGCCTATTATTATACTTAGGAATCAAATGACCATACTTTCTATATGTTGTTGTTACCTGGTTATTCAGTAGCTTCTCTTTTTGTAGGAACTGTTTTATTAATATTGCCTATTAAGGTATGTAGGAAAATCTGACAAGATTTAGACCTAATGTATATGTGAGGGCACCCTGCTCTGTCCAGTTGATCTGCTCCAAAAGGGCCAAACTGTCTACTGCT